TCAGAATATTAGGGGTACCCTTTTGGGATGGGGTCCCTATAATGAGGACCAAGTATTTTGGGAGTCTATATCGGGGGCCCCTTATTTTGGGAAACTACCATATCCTTCTTACAAATTTCTGCAATTAAAACGAGGATGTGATCTTACCCTATCGTAGTGCCTGTAGCTATTTCACACACTACTACGCGATTAGCGGCCTATGACTGCAGGATCCGGGCAGAGGCCAAAATGAATGAGATGCCTAAAAAGACGCCTAGGAATGAATTTAGGGTTTAGGGGTTAGGAGGGTTTAGGGTTTTAGGTTTTAGGTAAACCTAATCTCTAGTCCCTAAACCCTAAAGCCTGTCCCAACCCTAAACCCTGAACCGTGGAGACACGTTGAGCTTGGAGGACGTTATAAAGGCCTCGAGATAGCTTACTCCATGTAAAGGCGTCAGTCTTCCATCCCAAAACCTCAAACCATGCGAGCCATTGTCTAAACTCCTAGTATCCCCCTTAATAACCCCTATAGTAGTCCCCTATATAATCCCCTAAATATCCCCCTTTAAGGAGTTTAGACTATAGTACATGTGGAGCCATGCTTGGGTCGTATTCCCTTCAGCCCCAGGAAAAAAGACCAAAGCAACCGAGCTCTAGCTTTGAAGGAGACCAGGAACCCTATAATTGCTACTCTGGGAGGTCTTTTTTAGGACTATGAGATAAAGGTGAAGACCCCAGACGTCCCCTTGTCTGGCTGGGGTGCTACGGTGACGCTTCTAAACCCTAGGAAGCCCCAAAGGCTCAACTCCGAACTCTACCCAGCGCCCTGGAAGGAACCCCAAAAGTAGGCCTTTCAGAGTTCCTTGTAGGAAAAACCGGCGCCATCAAGTGTCCGTAAATCCCCGTAATTAAGGGTCTCCGGTGGGTGCTCTGGGTAGCTGCTGACTAAACTAAGCTAAGTTACCATGATATGGATATAGAAGCAATAATTGGCTTTCCTCTTGATGGTGATTTACTTAAACTTCCCCAACCACCCTAAACCCTAAAGTCTTTGGCTAAGCTGCGGCTGTGTCAGGCTCAGTGATGCTCCTTGGGGAAATTTCCATCTGCACGCCGTCCCACGCCTTGGTGTGAGAATGCTGGAGCCTAAGGAATTGGAATAGAGTTTGCGGTTCTAGGCCCGAGGCCTACGCCCCAATTGAACTCTATATCCATGTAGCAGGACTTGACATACAAAACGGAAGGCAGGACA